TTTTTTTTTTTAACCCCCCACCCCAAGGATTTTTTTTTCCCATTTGCTTTTTAGAGAGACTGGAAGGGAAGAGGGGGAAAGGGAGAGAGATAGAGGAACATCGATGTGAGAGAGACACAATTGATTTGGTTTGCTCCCACACACACCCCGAACAGGGGGCTTGGGAACATGCCCTTGACTGGAAATCGAACCAAGACCCTTCATTGGGCTGACGCTCCATCACTAAGCTACCCGGTCAGGACACAGTTCTGTACTTTCTTTCCTCAACCTGTAAAACCAGAATGATCTTAGTGGCCCCGAAGTGCATACTGATGGCTTTCTCTCAAGCCCCTTCTCAAGCTGCCCATCACTCCTACTTCGGAAAATGTCCAGCTGCCGTGGAGAAGAGCGAGGTGGTAAACAGAAGTCTTTAAAACAAATTACGGTGGCCAACCACCCTTAATTCATTATTGAGCAAACTTTGCTTTTTGTGCCAGCAAATGCACGCACAGTGACTTGAGCTAGCAACACGATGCGTATTCTGGCATACTGTCTTCTCAGGCCCTATAGCACTAACAGCAATATGGCTGGCATGGCTAAAGTGCTCGTCTGAAGTAGGTCAGAAACTAAACCCCAAAGTGCTGACTTTTCCAGAAATTCTGAACTGCGTGACCGCATTTAATAATTTAAGGCCTCTTGCCACACCTGCCAAGTGGAAGGAGGAGGGCTGTGTGGAGGACACTGGGGTCTGACAGAGGCATGTCTGCACCCAGCGCTGCCTCTTTCTGCCTGTTGGACTTGCTCAGCTTCCTCAGCCCAGAGCTCCCCCAGTGCACCTGAAGGGGCGTCATGTGGACCAAGATGCTGATACCCTTAGTCTCATCTAAGACCTAGGCACTCAGGGGAGAGAGACGCATGCACATTGTGCTGAAATGCTCCTTCTGCCCCAGCCAGTTTGGCTCAGTGGATAGAGCATCAGACTGCGGACCAAAGGGTCCTGGGTTCAATTCCGGTCAAGGGCACATGCCTCGGCTGCAGGCTTCTCCCCAGCCTGGGCCCTGGTCAGGGCGGGTGCAGGAGGCAACCAATTGATGTGTTTCTCTCACATTGATATTTCTCTCTGTCTTTCCCCTCTCTTCCACTCTCCCTAAAAATCAATGAAAAAATATCCTCAGGTGAGGATTTAAAAAAAAGAAGAAGAAAAATGCTCTTTCTCCCCAGATATGCATGCGTTTCAAAGGTGCAAAAAGCAAGTGGTCGTGGGCTTGTTTCTGAGGAGGAGGCAGCTGAAAACCCAGCTCACTGCCCCACACAATCCCTGTCTCCCCGTAACATCTGGGGGCCGTCAACTCATCTCCCTGTGGCCAAGAGGCCATGGTGGATATGGGGGAGGGGGCCGGGGTTAATGTCGAGAAAATGCTCTTTTCCATTCAAAGTTTGTTCATCACTTGGACTTTGGAGAAGTGTCCTGAATGAGGTCAGTTCCAGAGCCGCGATTGGTCCCAGCAGCCAGCCTGCCACTGGATCCTGTGTGTCCTGCCTCTTAGCATCTCCTACTTGGCTTCCCCAGCAATGGTCTACCTTGTGCTTTGCAGACAAAGCAACCTTTTAAAAATATGACCTTACGCGGTTTCCCACTACCATCAAGACACTGCCCAAGTCCTTAGCATCGCACACAAGGTCCTGCATCATGTGGCCTCGCTCTCCAGCTTCTCCTGTCTCATCTCTCTTTACCCCCACCCCATGCCACCCACCCCCAGTCACACCAGCTTGGTATTCTTTGTACATGTAGCACTCTCTTGTGCCTTCGTATTTTTGTAAATGCTATTTGTTTGTTCTGGAATGCCCTGCCTCCTGCCCCCACAGGCCCTATCCTGCCTACCCTGAGATTTTAGGATCATATTTCCATGAGGTCTTCTGTAGACAACGTAAGATGTCCTTCCTGTGAGTGCAACAATGACATCATGACTACATTGCAGTGTAACTGTCCCCATTCATCACGGTGTCTACCCTGCCAGGGTCAGAGCCTGTTTCCCGAACATTCCCCCTAAACTGTAAGTGCCAGAGGACAGGGGCTCTTCTATCAAGGCATGGGACCTAGCTCAGTTCCCAAAACACAGTGGGTGCTCGTTATAAGTTTGTTGAAAGAAAAAATGAAGGAAAAACCCTGTATGTATCATGATAACATCAATAGATGGATAATCACGAAGAGAAGAAAGACAGTGGTCATCATTAGCCTCTTAAATGGTAGAACCAGGAGGAGTGAACATTGGGTCAAACTCAGAATCAAACCGCTGAGACACATAAGCCATCCAGTGGGAACTCTGAGGAGTTAGGAAACCTGGGGTCGAAGGAGGCCAGGGAAACAGGAAAAAGGAAAAGCATTGGAGTCAGAGCGGAACCCCTGGGAAACCCCTGAGCTGTGAAAGGTCCAGGGAAGATTCATGACCTAGTAACCTAGCGAAGAAAACGAATTGCTGAGGCCAAGGCAGGGACGTGCATGAGAAACCTGAGTCTGAGCTCCGCGGAGCAGAGATGCTTGGCAATCATAGCGCATCACATACTTTTCACCAAGTGCCACCAGTAGCCAACGCTCCCAGAACATCCACTAGTGACCCACTCACTGTGCTTCTTTGCACATTCATTCCTGCACTCCCCCCCCCAAAAAAACTCTGCTGCTGGCTCATCCCTTCCCAGATACCCCTACCCCATCCATCATTCCTGGGGAAACTTGGTGGGCCTAGTGCAGCCACATTTTCACAGACAACCCAAACCATGCTCATGTCTGAAGGGCACCCATAGCCGGGCTGGGTACATCCTCGCCTACCACGGCCTCCTTACCACAGTCACTATGTCCCGCTCCATTTTGGATGCCCCACTCAAGGAAACAAACGCACATTTTCCCCTTAAGCTTGCCATTCGCAATAGACACACTTCTTTTGAACAACTATTCACAGAATCTACAAGACAGAGATGTTTGGAGAACGAGGCTCCGTGCCTGCTCGTTCTTGGGCTCATACAAAGCAGAGCATAGAACAGTGGCATTCACTGTCATAGAGCTTTTGACCCAGCAGGATTCAGGGAGCTGAACAAATGCTGGGAAAGCCAAATGCATGCCCTGGGCATCATGCAGCATTACATACAATGAAGGAAAGGCATTTTGATGGATGAAATGTCTTACTAACACCTTTCACCGAGATGAGTCTTAAGCCTTTTCTCTACTAGACCCCACTGATACCTGTATCCTCCACCTGAACCATGGAAAAGGCCTGAGAGAGGTTCCGCTATTATTCAAGGTCTTGCAGCAACGGGAGATGCCATCAGGGACATACACTCTCCCTACACACCCGTGTACCACCAAGAAGAGAGGAGCTGGCGCCAGGCATGAGGCTTCTTCGGCCCTTCAGCTCAGGGCTGTGAAATGAAGCTCACAGCTCATAACCCACATGGGACCAGAGCATCCCGTGAGTGAGTGAAAGCCACACCTGTATCCGCCTGGGAATGTTTAGATTCAAGGTGGTAGAAAAGGGGCTACATTTCCATCAGAATTAACTCCTTTTTGCTACAAAGGGGCATCGAGGCATTTCGCTCCTTACCTCATGGGCTGCTTGAGTGAATATCGAGACAAAAGCTCAATGTTTTGGTCCCCGAGAAAGCAGCTGGATCCTTGATGCGAGCAGGTCCTTGCACCTTTGATCCAAGAAATGGGGTGTCCCGGGCGAGGGTGCCCGAGGCCCCGTTGGTTTTTATGAGTCTGTGGGTCAGCTCAGACTGGCTGCCTACTCATCTGTATGCAGCGGCTCTCAAAGAACACAGTTTACTTTAGAACCGGATCCAACAGGAGTAGGCGTGGCAGTCAACCAGGCTAGATGCACCAGAGGTGTTGAGCTGCGGGGGCTAATTAAGAGGGATTGTTTATGGAGCCCTGACAGTGTCTCAGTCAACCGTGTGAGGTTGAGCCCACGTGCACGGGGCTACATGCTCCCACGTGGGGACATTGGGGATCCCCGCCGAGCCCCTCCAAAGTTTCTTCTGCTCGGTGACTCATTCTGTGGCCATGGGTCAGGCTGACCTGATTGTCCCTTGGCCATTCATCTGTCCCCCTGATCCCAGCACAATGGAGGGCTTTGGAGCAGAGACTGTATTGCAAAGCCGAGTGGGAGCCAAGCCCTGCGACACCAACCATGTCACCTGGGGGCAAGTCCCTAACCTCTCACCCTCAGTGGTCTGCGGTGAGAGTGAGATAATGTATGTAATGCACTTGGCAAACACTTGACATTGAGTAAACATTCGTGAAAACCAACGTACCCCACATATCAGCTTTCTTTCCTCCTTCCCACCTCGATGCCCTGGTATTCCCTCTCTCTCTCTCTCTCTCTCTCTCTGTCTCTCTCTCGGAGAGGAGGTCTTATCTCACACATACCCCACGACAGGCTACCACCAGAGCATCAGAAAACAGTCTCCTTAGGAAGCTGCCCTTCTGTGTTCATGGAGTAACAGGGGTGGATATGAACAGGCCACACATCCCTTCACTGTCTGTCTCCTCCACTGATGGCCACACAAGACGGTATTGGGTATCGCATCTACCAGAGCCCATGGGATGGGAAGAGCAGGAGGGCTGCAGGGTGGCCCCGGGGCTCAGGGGTGTGTGCCAGTGGCTCTGACGCCCCAGATTGCACAGAACCAATGCGGCATGATTCCCACAGGAAGGAGAGAGTAGAAACAAGTGCATAATTACACGGGAAAAGGGATTTGCTTTTAATTTTCAGGATACAAATTTTGTCCTAACTTTGTTAGTTATTCCTAAGTTGTTATTTTTGATGTTATTGTGAATAGAAGTGTTTTCCTTATTTTTATTTTATTTCTCATTGAACTTATTGGGGTCTGAGAATTGATGTTTACCTACGAGAGGTGTGGGCTTGTGTGTGTGTGTATATTTCCATTGAACTTATTAACGTTGGTTAATAAAATGATCTAGGTTTCAGGTGTACAGTTCTATACTATATCATCTGTACATTGTATTGTGTGTGTTCAGCACCCCAAGTCAATTCTCCTTCCATCACTATTTATCCCCCCTTTACCCTCTTCTACCTCCCCCTTTCCCTCGGGTCATCACCATGCAGGAAATTTTATTTTCAAACACTTAGAAGTATAATCAATTGTTACCGCAAAGGAAAAGGAATAGAGTGGTTGTAAGTAAGATGACTTACAGTAGCATTTCCATGTGCAGTTTGATTGTCGGGGAGCTATTCTAGGGAGAGCAGGACCACGGGGAAAGAGGAGGGAGTCAAAGCTTGTGCTGACCATGACTTTCCCCTTCCCAGAAGGTCTCCTGTGAGCGTACTGTTGCCATCCTTGCTCCCCTGTCCCCAAAAGTACCTCTTCCAGGCTCCCCTGTGTGGCCCACTACTTACTACATTTCCAGGTATCCACCCCACCTCTCAGGGTGCCTCCCTAGGTAAACATCAATTCTCAGAGCCTTAGGAACAACCCTCTAATGAGGAAAATGAATGTTTTTTAAGGGCCTCATTTATTTGCAAGGCAGGTACCTGCAGCACAACAGGGCCAAACGTCCAATTATTATGCAGACCAGGTAGTGTACTGGGCTGCATATCTGGCACTTCGGCCAGACGGGGCGTGCTGTGCTGTCTGTTCCTAAAACACGTAGATAGGAAGGTACTGACATCAGGCCAGGCCTTGAGATATGGACTCATGGCCCCTTCTCAATATGCTGTACTCTCTGTTCCTAAAACACATAGATAGGAAGGTACTGATACTATACTGTATCGGGAACTAAGGTTTTGTAACTTTGTGGTTTTTGAAAATAAAAATACTGTAATTCCTGTAGTCTGGGCTGCAGTTCAGCCTTTGCTTCGGTAGGGTGCTGTGACTGTAGTCAGCTGGCCAGCTTAATAAAGGCTCTTAAATTTAAATTCTGAGTCGGTGGTCTATCTCGCTGAGTGAACCCATAACAGTAGTCATCTTACCTCAATCCCACCCCTTGCCTCCCTACCTTCAAACAGCCCTTTGGGACCTGCTGGGAAAGAGAATGAGGCCGTTGCTAAGCAACAGGGAGGGCTGGGCTGATGCGCCCTTTCTCCCAGATGCACCCTCTTGCTCGTGATGAGCAAGGGAAGACATTCCACCTGGTGGAACCCTGCACCTTCCCCCAAACCAACAGGACTCAGCTCCTCAGTCTCTCCCCGGCCCACAGTCTTCATGGAGCAGTTCTGCTCCTGCCATGCCCATCTGCCGCTCCTCCCGCCTCTGCTGTGCCACAGGGAGCCCTGGCAGTGGGCACCTGTACCCTCCTGCTTCCCGGGCTCTGTGCTAGCCCTGCTGGTGGCCACCGGCCTCAAAGCACCCAGAGCCTCGGCCTCTGCACTGAGCTGCGGGGCCAGGTCCATGGAGGGTTTTTTTCCTTAGAGAAAGTTGGAACATTTCAAAGACACCCTTATTGCGACTAATTTCCCAACAGGCGCAGTTTGGATACACAGGAGGCCGTTGGAGGTGCCTGTGTGATTCAGGGGAAGCCAGGGCAATCCATTCACTCGGGGACAAGTCTGAAGGGTCAGAGGCCTGAACAGGTACAGGAGCAGCTGGAGGGCAAGCAGGCAGACTTGGCACCTGGAACCCAGTTCTGGGTCCCAGGAAGGGGTGCAGGATGAACCACCGGGGTGAGCGTGGCCAGTCAGGGCAGTGCTGCCAGGGCGCTGAGCAGAAGATGGGAAACAACATGAGGTGAGCGCAATGCCCTGTGTGTGCTAAGTGGTTGGCACAGGGCCCCTCGGTTCATGCTAACGCCTTCAGGGCTCGGCGTTGTTTTCATCCATGTACCCTGGTCTCTGGGCACAGCACACAGGGTCAAACTCAGGCCCACCTATGACACCAGGCTCCTCCGCCCATTGCCTCACTGATAGGGTTACCAGGAAGGTGGCCACAGCCTCCCCGGGTGAGGGAGCAGAGGAAATGAAATTGAAGAGAATTCGAAGTTGAAAATGTGGCGAGTTGAACAAATGTTGATTTTGGCTCCCTCCACAAAAACCAGGAATAAAGAAATTTTTTAAAAATATGTTTAAGGTGAAATCCATAAAGACAAAGAACAGGAACGGAGACAAGAGCAGCCAAGGGACTCCCACAAAGCTTTAGGGGGCTGGGAAGCAGGACAGGGCAGAGCAGCGAGGGCAGAACCCAAGGTCCGGCAAGGGAGACACCCCCAGGACGCCAGCTGCAGGCTTGCAGAGGCCAGGCTGGGCAGCCCAGGTGCGGCTGAAGGCAGCTGATGGGTGGGGCCAGAACCAGGGAAATGGGTTGAAAGTCTTTATCCAAAACAGATTCTCCAGGCTGGGGTTTCCTCTTGGAGAAAACTGAGTGTGGCTTTGTGAAGGGGGTTGTGTGAAATCTGCAGCCTGAATGGGAGACGCAGACCCCCTCCCTCCACCCAGCACCCAGGTGCCTGAGGGCAGCCACGCAGAAGGGCGGGGTTCTCACAGGGAAAACTCCACAGCTGAGAGGAAAGACCTTGGGCACTGACACCTGGGCATCACCTCACCTGCGGGATCAGACGCAGCCTCCCCTTCCCCCTCCCAGCTTCCAAGGGCCCGCAGACAGTAAGGAAAGGTGCTAAGGGCTGGGGAACCTTTTTCCTGCCAAGGGCCATTGGGATAATTATACCATCATTCTCAGGCCACACAAAATTATCATCTTAAAAATTCGCCTGATATATTTGGTCAAACATTTAATTAACTCACCCCTAATGCCTTGGCAGGGCCGGACCAAAGGATTTCTCAGGCCTTATACGGCCCCAGGGCCAGACGTTCCCCACCCCTGCAGGGAACGACCAAGACAAATCATAAAGGGAATTTGGAGTAACAGAGTGTTTTTTTATAACCGGAGAACTCCTGCAAAAAAGCAAATGTGGGCAACTTACTGTACGTTTCGAAAATATAACTATATAAAATAAATCTTTGGAAAAGGATCAAATATCGATAGGCCACCTTAGCGCTTGGGACTGAGCTGTCTGGCAGGCTGAAGTGATGAATACACACAGGCCAGGGAGGCGGCCCAAGAGGAACAGAAATCCTGCTCTTCATGCTGAAGACTCCACCCACCCCCTCCCTGACTCTGTCTCAGCGAGAGCAGGGAAGACAGAGAGCTGCCCCAGGAGGCTGTGTGCCCAGGCTGCCCCCCAGGAACCCCACCCCACCCCCCAGCCAGCAGCCACATCTTCGTCCCCTAACCCTTGTGGTCCTGGTTGGCACTTTTCTTGCCAATTATATCCATGGGGACAGCTTTCTCCCTTGCTGACTCAGAGTTCCCGGGAGCTAAGTTCTTCAGGAAGCAGAATTCCTCGCGCTCTAAAGCTACAAAGTCAGATACCTTGTCCAACGAACAAATGATGACTAGACGGAGTGTCCCCTATCCTTTGCCTTGCCCAGCCTGTGATGCAGGGCGCCCGTTCCCCTGTAAAGCATCACCGAAAGGAATGTCCTTCTAGGCCAGTGGTGCTCAACCTTCCTAATGCCGCGACCCTTTAATACAGCTCCTCATGTTGTGGTGACCCCCAACCATAAAATTAAACTGTAATGTTGCTACTGTTATGAATCGTCATGTAAATATCTGATATGCAGGATGTATTTTCATTGTTACAAATTGAACATAATTAAAGCATAGTGATTAATCACAAAACAATAT